CATCTAAGAACCTTGACTACTGTGTGGACACAACATTTAAGAACCGTGACTACTGTCGGGAGACAGCNAGAACCTTAACAACTGTGTGGATACAGCATCTAAGAACCTTGACTACTGTGTGGACACAGCATCTAAGAACCTTGACCACTGTGAGGACACAGTATCTAAGAACCTTGACTACTGTTGGGACACAGTATCTAAGCACCTTGACCACTGTTGGGACACAGCATCTAAGAACCTTGACTACTGTGTAGACACTGCATCTAAGAATCTTGACTGCTGTTGGGACACAGTATCTAAGAACCTTGACTACTGTGTAGACACAGCATATAAGAACCTTGACTACTGTGTAGGCGCAGCATCTAAGAACCTTCACTACTGTGAAGGCACAGCATCTAAGAACATTGACTACTGTGTAAGCACAGCATCTAAGAACCTTGACTACTGTGGGGACACAGTATCTAAGAACCTTGACTACGGTGAGGACACAGCATCTAAGAACCTAAACAACTGTGTGGATACAGCATCTAAGAACCATGACTTCTCTGGGGACAGAGCAACTAAGAACCTTGACCACTGTGTAGGAACAGCATCTAAGAACCTTGACTACTGTGTAGGACCAGCATTTAAGAACCTTGACTACTGTGGGAACACAGTATCTAAGAACCTTCACTACGGTGTGGACACAGTATCTAAGAACCTTCACTACGGTGGTGACACAGTATATAAGAACCTTGACTACTGTGGTGACACAGTATATAAGAACCTTGACTACTGTGGTGACATGGACACAGTATCTAAGAACCTTCACTACGGTGGTGACACAGTATATAAGAACCTTGACTACTGCTGGGCCACAGTATCTAAGAACCTTGACCACTGTGGGGATACAGTATCTAATAACCTTGACCACTGTTGGTACACAGCATCTAAGAACCTTGACTACTGTGTGGACACAGCATCTAAGAACCTTGACCACTGTGGGGACACAGTATCTAAGAACCTTGACCCCATTTGGGACACAGTATCTAAGAACCTTGACTTATGTGTAGACACTGC